CTGTGGGTCCTAGAACTTTTTGAACAGTTCGAGAATTTCTTTGTATAGTTTTTCTGCAGTTTGTGTGTAGCTAATGTAAACTCTGGGAGTTGGTGATGGACAGGGAGGCCTGGAGTGCTGTGATTCATGGGGTCACAAAGAGTCGGACACTACTGAGTGACTGAACTGAACTGAACTGAACTCTAAGTAAAATTGGAACTGGAATTGCAGTCTTTACTATTGAGTATAGCAAGAAGCTGATCCCCAGAGTTGCCAACAAAAATCACAGAATTGTACCCTGATATTTCTCTTTTTTGGTATTTCTCAAAAAGGCAGACATCTCACTCTAGCAATTATAGTCCAAGTTCTATATATGTATATATATATGTGTGTGTGTGTGTATATATATATATATATATATATATATATATATATATATATAACATTTTTAGTGAGCCATAGTTGCTTTACAATGTTATGTTAGCTTCTGCTGTAGAGAAAAGAGAATAAACTCTATATTGTTTTTGAAACATTTAGGTAGCTTAATATAACTTTGTATAGCATTTTTGTAGGTTATCCCTACATGTTAACCTCTGTGACTTTCTTTACCTAATATTGTACTGTATAAGTTAAAATAGTCATTCTAATCATAAACTTAGCATCATAGATAGAAAATTTTGATACCATGGGGATGCATATAGTAGAATAAATATCATGCTATTATGTTCTGTAAGTTTTCAATATTAATATAAGTATAGGATTTTCTTTTTAGGCGCAGTTTACAAGTGTTAAATATGATCAATTCTTAGAAATTCTTCTCCGTTTCTCTTTTTACATATCCATGGCATTTTTAAAATATTTCTTAGAATTTCATTTTCTGGCTAAAAACTCTCTTTGAATCTTCTAGTTCAGCAGTGTCCGATAGAACTTTCTGTGACAACAGAAATGTTCTAGAACTGCCCTGTCCAATATGGTAGCTACTGAAGTTTCTAACTATTTGTAATGTAACTAGTGTGACCAAAGGAAATGAATTTTAAACTTAATCTCCTTTTAATGAATTTAAATTTAAATATAAATAAACCCATGTGGCCAGTAACTCTGTATTAGACATTACAGTCAGTTACTCCCTACTCCATCTCCAAACTTATTTTCACCACATCTATTTTACAGCATAATATTTACTCCTGAAGCATCATCAAATGAATTTAACTGTTCAACATTTATTAGTTTCTGTTATATTCTTTGGGGTGGTAAGAAATTCTGTGTTTTCAGGATGAAAATAGTCTAATAGTAACTATGAGACCTTTATCAAACACTGTGTCAGGTACTATTCTGAGCACTTAATACATAATGCATCATTTCATTATCCCAGGAAACTTACATTGTAATTATCACCATTTTATAGATGTAAAAATTGACACAACCACAGGTAAATTATTAATAATTTTTGCCTAAGATCAAACAGCTAGTAAGTGACTAAGTTAGGATGTAAAACTCAGGCAAACTGGCTTCAAATCCCAGGCTGTTCTGTTCTTTACTCTTTTATCACCCTGGAGAGTGAGATTTTTTATCTGTGGTTCGCTTTGTTCAGAATGCATCACAGTTGGAGCCTTTCTAAGAGCTTTACTTTGTATGCATGATATCAGAAACCATTGCCTCTGGCTAGAGGTAAGAGAATAGAGGACCAAGTTTTCTGTTTCTTTTCAGTCCTGTCACAATTCACTGAGAAGCAACTATGTTTTAAAAAAAAAAAAAGATCCAAAGTAACTAATCTCTACTAATTTGGTGCTTGGATCTCATTTTATGTGGATGATACTAAATAGTGCATATACGTGATAATACACAGGTGATGTCTGTTTGCTCCTATTGCTACAAAAGATCATTCAAAAATTTTTCTCAGTGCGCCATCAGAAACAATTTTAAAGCAGTCTTGTTGATCATTTTCAAAGGCTTAATGTTCTGATTTACCTCAGGTCAATCATCTGCAAGTTAAAATTACTCAGAAGTGTACTGTCCATAATTAAGTAATCTTACCTACTAATATTATAGAATAAGGAGACCTTTAGGTGACATGAAATCTGTCATTTTAAGTATGCCCCCAAGCCTTTTCCAGGTTGCTCATAAGATTTCTCATTCTCTAGAGAAATGTGGTCTCTTAGAAATAAATGTCTCTGTCAAGGCACAAGTAATATGTGCACATGATGAAAAAAAATGGAATATTTTAGTCTCATAAGGGATATTGCAGTATTGTAAAATTGATTTTGTTCCTTGTTATTTAGGTTCTCATGGTCATTTTAGGATTTACCTTCTGGATATAAAGGGAAGATTATGATGCCTTCTAGGGAGGTGGGCGACAGAGGCCTTTGGGAACCAGGAGAATATTTTTCATATGAAATTCTTTGTCATAAAATGCTAATGTTGGTGTTCTTGTCTTTATGTCTATGCATTCTTTAGCTATGAGGATAACAGACCCTTCATCAAGTAAGAATGACCTGAATGGCTGATAAATTCCATTTATCAGTGTGGTCCCATGAACCAGCTGTCAGATCAGTACTGAAAAATCATTAGAGCTTCTGTCATTCACATTGAGGCAGAAGAGCAAACTGTGCAGGAAAATAATCAGGCATACAACTTCTCTGCAGAATAAATATGCTGCAGGTGTATTGCCAGAGAAATTCTGCTTCACCTCTTTTAATTGGATATCACCTGCCCTTAGTGCCATAGTAATAGCAACTCCATGTGGTACAGACTTGTTTTGCTTTTATTAGCTTTCTCCTTTCATTGTGATGTGCTTCTCTGTGCTGCATATGTCATCATTTCTGTTGCTTGTTCGGACATCTTTCATCTAAAACTATTTCATGATTTAGTGTTATATCTTCAAACGATTTTCTGGATATGAAACTACTGAGTTACAAATGATACTAATGAAGTTTTTAGGCTAAATATCCAAAAGAAGGGGAAATACCTCCTTCAAAAATTAAATCTTGCATATGCAAAATAACCTCTTTCAAATTTGACACATATCTTGATTATCGATCATATCTTTTAAGCTTCTGAAACAAAGCTACAAGTCTGTACTAATCTAATAAAAATAAACGTAAATGTTAAGATTTGGGCTTTTTCTCCTTTGTACGTTTTAAAATTCTATGTCCTGCAGCAATAAACATAAAAGACTGGCAACCTTTGGGTGGTCTTGCTGTAGACTTTCAGTTTGTTCTTCTGGTGAAGAGTCCTTTGTTTTCATTTTCTCCACAGTACCATTTCACTTACTTCTTCATGCTCTTACTTCTTTTTTCTTTAGAATTTGGGCTCATCACTATTTTATATCATTAACACTTGAGCCCATTATGTGTTTTCTAGTGGATAGCTGACTTGAATATTTTATCCAATCATTTTATTTCTAAAGCTGAATAACAATTTTGTCTTGGTTTAATGGCAACTCTTTCCATTTTTCCTTTTTTCAATATCTGTAAAAACTGAGAGCTTTATCTTGAAAGTTCTCATACTTCTCAATCTGCTTGTGAAACAAGATATTAACTTCTAAGATGTTTTCTAATTCATATATACAAACATGTCACATACATGTTTGTGGCATGACAAACTTCCTTTAGGGATTCTTTATTCAAGATTATTAATGTTTTAAATTAAGCACATTAAATTTAGTGGATGTTTGCATCTGAAATATAGTGACTGATGGTTATAGAAGGAAAATGGTAAATATTTGAGATTAGTAAGACCTTAATAATATTTGACTACTCTGGGACATATCTTTCTTAAGATGTAGTTCTCTCTGAAAAATTTATTAAACCCAGCTTCAGATTATAGTAAATATATGCAATTTTCCATCCTTTGTTTTGCAAAGTTTCAATCCCCATAAATATTCATTTCTTAGACAATGTAAGTAGAGGATAATAGTCTGCTGAAAAGAAATATTAGTTTACCATGTTCAGGAAGGTATATTGGGAAAGGAAAGGATGGGCTAAGATTATAGAAATCTAGACTGTTTTGGTCCTATTGTATGTACTTAGGAGTTGAGAAGATTCCATTTTCAATTATTGGATTCCTATCTATTGGAAAGGTCTATTTTATGTTGATAGTGAATACATAGTACATAACCACAAATATATGAACTTTTGTCACCCATTTACTAGTATTGTGAATGGCAGCTTGGAGGAAACTAAGGGAATGGAGTGAGAGTGAGAATTTGTCTTCCGTTCTGGACTACTTTGTTCATACCTCTCCATCCCATTTTCAACTTCATTATCTCCCATGAGTTTACAGACACTTCAAAGACATGAAGGTGTCCTGAGCCTTTGGGCTTCTTTTCAACAAAGCTGCCAACTGCCTGATTTCCAAAGTCTAGTCCAACACAACCTAGAAGACAGCAATCCAAAGGCCGAAAGAGTAGATGGTGATCTAGAGGGGAACTTTTTTTTTTTTACCATCTACTGTATTTCACATTTGTTCTACATAACTACAGAATCAGACAGATTGAACTTTTGAAATTTATATGTGTTCCATATATTGGTTCCTTCTGTTTTTATCAGTACACACTAAATTTTTTATGGAAAAAAGAGGAAATTTGGAAAAATGGGGTAAAAGTGTATCAGGTGAAGCACTAATGGAAAGAGTCTATAATCAAACAAATGTTATCATACCAATGAGACCAGTGGAGACTAACATAACTTTACAGACTTTCCCCCCTTGCCATTAACCATAATTGCATCTCCATATCATTCACATATGTGCTGCAAATACATGAATAGTTTAATAGTACAAATCTGCTTTTGCTTAAATGAATTTTTGTGTTCATAACATTTTCATTCATGTATATCTCCTCAAGCTTGAAAACTTGTAAGTTCTCATTAAAATCTTGAAGTACTTATACCACCTGTCTTACATTTCCTGTCAATAAAACTTACCGTAACATTTTTTTCAGTGTCAATATTGTTGATATGATATGACTATGTTAATTAAAGACAAACTATTTGATAACCCTTAATTTTCTCTTCTCTTTGCAGGTCATGGGTTATAGGTGCAATAGCTCTTCTCTGCCTATTAGGATTGACCTGGGCCTTTGGACTCATGTATATTAATGAAAGCACAGTCATCATGGCGTATCTCTTCACCATTTTCAATTCTTTACAGGGAATGTTTATATTCATTTTCCATTGTGTCCTACAAAAGAAGGTAAGCTAGAACTCTCTGTTCAGGAACAAATGGCATACAAAAAAAAAAAAGAATAAATGGCATATATTCTATGATAACAAAACACCCATAGTATGTCATTCTTGATTTTTTTTGTCTCTGAAAAATAAATATATTATTTGGTTAATTTCATGTTTATAATAGAAAAGAAAGACATAAAATGCAAGTGTCAAAGTTGATGAATGTGTTAACAACAAAAGACAGAATCATATTTTGATTTAGACAGTGCACAAAAATAATATTCTTATAGATTTACCTTGTTGTCTTTGATATCATTATTGGCAGACACATGGAATTTGTATATTGGGAAGCAGATGTTCTAAGATGTATGGAGCAAAGAATATACATATATATATATTATATGGCATGGCATAGGAAATATATATTTTTCTATTTTTTAAAAAACTAGTGTATTCTAGGAAATATAATATCTAAACAATTTATGATAGAAAGCATTTATTATTTTAGTTAATGGTAAAACACTTAGTAAATATCTCAATGTGTGTGTTAGTTGCTCAGTCATGTCTGACTCCTTGTGACCCCATGGAATTTAGCCCACCATGCTCCTCTCTCCATGGGATTCTCCAAACAAGAATACTGGAATGAGTTGCCATTCCCTTTTCAAGGGTATCTTCCTGACCCAGGAATCAAACTCAGGTCTCCTGCATTGCACAGATTCTTTACGTCTGAGCCACCAGGGAAACCTGAAGATGTCTGAACTTCTTTAAAAGCATGTTTTATTAAAATTTATGATTTTGATGATTAGAATGCAATATTTAATTTTTATAATGGTCTATTTTTTAATTATTTTTCACATCTACCAGGATCTAAATTGCTCATTTTAAAAGTTAATTTTAGCAACTAAACACTTACATTGCTTTTTTTTCATCTCAACATTGATTTTCTCATCTTATACTTTTTAACTCAATTAAAAATGTGGTCTTTATAGTTCTGATCACATAGACCCCTGAGTCAAGACTGTGTCCGAATCCTAGTTCCTCTATTTAATGGCTTATGTGACTTTGGGCCATTTAATTAACATGCATGTGCTCTAGTTCCCTCATGTATAAAATGGAAGTAATAAAATAATTATGATATACTGAGATGTGGCACTGAAGATGAAATGGGAAAATGTGATTTTTTTTTTCCTTAGCAACAAGACCTACAGTTTTTCTTCAGAAAATGAAGAGTAAATATATCAGTCTGTATGCTTTTTGGTTTGAGAGACTAAACAAATTTGAGAAATGTGTGTCCACTTACTGAGATGAGTCCAGTTTTATCCTGTTTTCAGCTTTAAATGGTGTTAGATATTAAAAATGTGCTGCCATGATATTAAATGTAGGCTAGAATAACAATAATAATGTTAGGCCAGTTAATGTAGGTTACAGAAAACAGGTTATGATGTTAGAATGGATGAATCTTCCTAAATACTTAATGTGCATACACCCCAAATTGCAATCATTTAACCTAATAAATGTTTATTTGTTTTTATTCATGGCCCAATTGATGCAGGTGCCTAATGGAGGGACATAGCCAGTGACAGCTCAACTAACCTCACTATTTGATTTGATAGTTACTTTGGGTGTTGGTATCTAGCAGATAATCTGAGAAAAAGAGAGGGGACCTTGTATAAAAAGTCTGGAAATGGTTCATATCATTTCCACTCACATTCTATCAGATAGGACACCATCAGTAGTACCACCCAAACTGCAAACAAGCCTGGGAAACATAGTCTACCTCCTGTACCCCAGGAAGGTGAGGAATTGGGTATTATAATGCAAACAGCTAGCAATTGATCACAGTTGATCAGTATGAAGACTTGGGGACATAAGTGACGAGTAAGAATAGACATGGAAGAAAGTGTCTGAGAAGAATGAATGAAAAGATAGTATCTGAATTAAAGATATGGGGGAAGTGTCCAGAAGTAGACAGTGGTCAGTATTATAAAACACTTCAGAGAAGTCAGAAAGACTTGAAAAGATTTCTAGATTTTGTTAGAAAGGAGCCATAATTGATTGTCAAGAGAAATATGTAAAAAGTTGGAAGCAAAATCAGGAAAAGGTAGCTTTTGTTCATGTAAATAAGGGAATATTGGGCCATCATAGTTAGTTATATTAACATTTTCAAATAAAATAAACTGGATGTGCCCATTATTTTCTGTATTAGCTGGAAATTTTAAGTTTCAATGTGAGTATTGAAATTTTCTGTAGAACAGAAAAGATTTTTGTGCTTTATACATGAATTATTTTGATTGGGATTATTTTCATTAGCCAGTACCTATTAGAGTTTTCCCAATTATTTTTTTATTATGTCTAAAATACATGTCACTGTTTTGATATCCAGGTAGAGATACCAAACCTCAGAAACCAATAACAAATTATAGTTTTTAGTATATTGAACATATTAACAGAGGTGGATTTTTAAAAACATACACGTCATCAAGCTCAATTTTGTGAATCCTTACAAGAGAGTACAGTAAACTATAGTTTTCTTCCTGATTCATTCATTCACTGATGGAGAGTTTGGTTGCTTCCATATCTTGGCTGTTGTGAATAGTGCTTCAGTGAAGCAGATATCTCTTATGGGTATGCAGATATCTCTTTAAGATCCTGATTTTGTTTCCTTGGGATATAAGCCCAGAAGTGGGATTGCTGAATCATATGGTAGTTCTATTTTCAATTTTGTGAGGAACCTTCATATTGCTTTCCATAACAGCTGTATGTATTTCTATGATCACCAACAGGGCACAATAGCTCTCTTTCTTCCATACTCTCACCAATTCTTGTTGTGGTTTAGTCTCTAAGTCGTGTCTGACTCTTTGCAACCCCGTGGGCTGTAGCCCACCGAGCGCCTCTATCCATGAAATTTCCCAGGCAAAAATACTGGAGTGGGTTGCCATTGCCTTCTCCAGAGAATCTTCCTGACCCAGGGATGGAACATATGTCTCCTGTGTCTCCTGCATTGCAGGCAAATTATTTACCCCTAAGATACCAGAGGAACACCAATTCTTATCTCTTGCCTTCTTCATGATAACCATTCCAACATATATGAAAGAAAGTGAAGTAGCTCAGTCATGTCTGACTCTTTGCAACCCCGTAGACTGTAACCTACCAGGCTTCTCCCTCCATGGGATTCTCCAGGCAAGAGTACTGGAGTGGGTTGCCATTTCCTTCTCCAGGGGATCTTCCTGACCCAGTAATCAAACCTGGGTCCCCCTCATTGCAGGTAGACGCTTTAACCTCTGAGCCTCCAGTGATATCTAATTGTGATTTTGATTTTTATTTTTCTAATTAGTTATGTTGAGTATCTTTTCATGCTAGCCATTTGTATGTCTTCCTAAAAAAAATGTCTATTCATTTCTTTTGTTCATTTTTTAGTTGGATTGTTTGGGGGGGCTACTTTTGAGATGTATTAGTGCTTTGTATATTATTGGTTTTAACTACTTATCAGATATATACTTATCAGATATATGATTGGCAAATATTTTCTTCCATTCTGTAGATAGCCATTCAACTCTGTTTCTTTCGCTGTGCAGCAGCTTTTTGTTTGATATAGTGCAACTTATTACTTTTTCTTTTATTGCTTATTCTTTCTATGTGTATGTGTTAGTTGCAGAGTTGTGTCCAACTCTTTGCCATGCCATGGATTGTAGCTCACTAGGCTTCTCTGTTCATGGAATTCCCCAGGAAAGAATACTAAAGAGTAGATTGCCATTTCTTCCTCCAGAGGATCTTCACAACCCAGGGATTGAACCCGGGTCTTCCACATTACAGGCAGATTCTTTACTGTCTGAGCCAGCAGAGAAGCCCATGACAAACATTTGGTGAGGTGTAGTCCTCTCCAGGAGTCCACAGATGGCTTCTTTTGTATTGAAAGCTACCTCATGTCCAGCACAGTTGCAGCTGCTCATGAGACCAGACTTCAGGAGAAAAGAGACTCATTTTCTTATGTATAAGCAGCCTAAGGGGCAGGTGTCTAACTTAACACACACGTCCAAGAGCTTTTGGATGCCCTCCAGTTAGGGCACTTGGCATCTTTGGCATATCCCTCTGCCTGCTCTAGCTCTGGATGCCATCTTTTTTTCTTTTTTTCCTCTCCACAGGTGTCATAAATTTGTAAAAAAAAAAAAATTGATTGATTAATTTAATAAATTCCAAGCCTAGGGATTCCCTGGTGGACTCAGCACTCCCATTGCAGGGGGCCCTGTTTGATCCCGAGTCAGGGAACGAGGTCTTACACACAGCAACTAAGAGTTCACAAATTAGATGTTGTGTATGGTACATGATAGTGAGGTTCAGTTTCATGCATCTTCGTGTGGTTATCCAGTTTTCCTAATGCCATTTATTAAGAGATTGTATTTTCCTCATTATTTATTCATAGCTTTTTTATCACATATTAGTTGACCGTATCAGTCCAGTTCAGTTGCTCAGTCGTGTCTGATCTTTGCGACCCATGGACTGCAGCACCTCAGGCTTCCCTGTCTATCACCAGCTCTCAAGCTTGGTCAAACTCATGTCCATTGAGTTGGTGATGCCATCCAACCATCTCATCCTCTGTTGCTCCATTTGCCTCCGACCTTAAATCTTTCCCAGCATCAGGGTCTTTTCCAAGTAGTCAGTTCTCTGCATCAGGTGGCCAAACTATTTGATGGCCAAAGAGTTTCAGCTTCAGCATCACTCCTTCCAATGAATATTCAGGACTGATTTCCCTTAGGATTCACTGGTTGGATCTCCTGGGCAGTCCAAGGGACTCTCAAGAGTCTTACCCAATACCACAGTTCAAAAGCATCAATTCTTTGACACTCAGCTTTCTTCATAGTCCAACTATCACATCCATGCATGACTACTGGAAAAAACATAGCTTTGACTAGATGGACCTTTGTTGGCAAAGTAATGTCTCTGTTTTTAATACTAGGTTTGTCATAGCTTTTCTTCCAAGAAGCAAGCATCTTTTAATTTCGTGGCTGCCATCACCATCTGCAG